GGAAGGAAGGAAGGAAGGAAGGAAGGAAGGAAGGAAGGAAGGAAGGAAACTTGGTTGAGTAGGGCTTCTCCATATCAGCACTACTGACAATTTGGGGTTAGATAATTCTTGGTTATGAGGGCTGTCCTGCAAACTGTAGGGTGTTCAGCATCATTCTGGCCTCTACCCATGAGATGACAGTGGCACCCCCAAGTTATGACAGCCCAAAATGTCTCCAGATATTACCAAATGTCTCCCGGGGAGCGCAACACAATTGAGTGACTGAGAAACACTGCTCGAGGGACACAAGATCCAATAAATTACTCTTTGAGGCCAGGAAAAACAGGCCCATGAAGGGCCTGGTGAGGCTGAACTTGGCCACAGTCTAGGCCTTGAGTGAGGGCAGTGGAGCCAAAGCATGGCTCTGAGGCTGACCTTCCCCTAGTAGCCATGACGACCAAGAGAGGACTGCTTGTCTGCAGCTCCAACACTTCATATTTATGGGTGTGGACTGGAGTCAAGAAATTCCCCCAGAATCCCTTTTCAAAGAGAGTGCCCAATCAAAGTCTTTAAGCAGACACCCTCTGTGGACCTCAGGACCTGCTTTAGGGTCCATATGACTGCCTCTGCTTTGAGCCTTCTGGTAGAACAATCCAGGGGAAGAGGTTTCCATCAGTTACCAGCTTGGACTCTCAACTACGGGAACCCCAGGAAGAAGCAACCAAGGGTCACTGTCTACACTCAGCACTACTGAGACCGAGTGTCTCCTCCTCTGTGTGGCTTTCCCACCTCCCCTAGCCACAGACCTCTCCCTCGTCTTGGGTATCACTCTAGTCGTAGGGTGTTTAAGGTTTCTGCTGTTCACTTGGCACTGGCATGGCTTTGCTCTGCTCACTTTTAACAGACTCATCTTGTCTCCTCAAGAGCTGAACTCCTGGAAGGGCAGGGACCATGTCTTTTTTCCCCGCTCTGTTCCCAGTATGGATGTGCCATGTACTTTTTGGTCATATGATGCATGGGGACTCTGAACTTGGAGCATCTTACCGAAGTCAGTACCAGGTGACAGCACTGGTCATAGAGAGAGCAAAGCGAGCAGAAAGCACCAGAGGCAACTCCTCCATACTCCCCAATAAAATGTGTGTGGCATCTGAAACTGTCACAAATGCACATGACACACTCAGGTGCACTCGGTAATGACAACGCGGGACAGCCTTCTGATTGGGTAAAGGGATGATTTGACAAGAAGAGGAGCCCTGCATTGAGAAGTGACTCCACCAAGCACGTCACTCTCTGAAACGCAGGGGCCACTAAGAATAGGCACATTAGTAGGAGCCCGGCTGCAACAGGTAGTGGCAGGTCTGAGGAAAAGCAGCAGGACTAGCTACTGCGTTCTCCTGGCAAGGAGAAGTGGCATTAATGAGGAGGTATCCCCACTAGATCATCACTGATGAAATCAGAACAAGTAAGAAGAGTGGGAGGCCAGCCAAGATCCTGAGCCTACTGACAAGCCTTTCAGCGGGAGGAAGGGGACAAGAAGGAGGATGACAGGAGGAGAGACGGAAAGTTAGCCACCACACCGCTAGAACCAGGAAGTTCAGAGAAGATAACTAGGAAGAGACTGGCCAGAGGCCTTTGGAAAGGAGAAGAGGACCACTGCTAAGAGGAACTGTCTGGTGGGAGCAGCCGGGAACAGGAGCTCCTGTCTGCAGGAACCAATGCAGCAAGGTCTCTGAGCACCTGTATGGGCTCGCCCGGGAGCCGGAGGAGGCAGAAAGCAAGCCATGGATGCTGGGAGGGCCTGGCAGCCCTCCCAAGGGCTGAAAGAAAGAGAAGGAAAAGAAGGGCATGTCCTGCCCAAGGAGATAAGGGGCCAAGCCCCCCCTCTGGTCCTGCTCTCTGTCACCCACCTGCTACGCCACCACCTCACTGGCTCCATCTCTGCCTCTGCCCTAAAAAATCCTCGGCTGGGGGCAGAACACATCTTGCCCCCACACACAACTCAGGCTTGCCTTCATGCTTTGCTGCCCAAGTGTTGGGACACCCTCATCTTCTCCACCAGGCCAAAGCCTGCCCACTCCACAGGAGCCCCTCCCCACCCCCTGGCACCCAGGCACACCCATTCAGGCACTGGCTCACTCCTCCCATCTCCTGAATTGCCCTCCTGCTAAATCACCTGATTTCTTAGCCCCAATCCTTGAAAGCCCAGCTGCTCCCAACAATCTGAGCCCAGTCCTTCCCCTGCCCTCAGGCTCCTGCCCAGGGGCAGCTCTGGAGCCTCCTCCTAACTCAGCTCCCTAGTCTCTGAAGCCTGCCAGCCACTGCAGCCTTATGTTGGGACCCTCACAGCCCCAATCTCTGTTCTTCTCCAGAACCACACCTCACTGCCCAGCCCTGATCCCTCCATCACAAGCTCCCGGCAGCCCCCTCTCCCAACCCCCGTTCTGCCCCAGATATAGCTAATCCCTGGCCTTCTTCTCACTCCCCCTACCTGGCGCAGGTTTCGGGTGACCCGGACGTCGTGCCAGGCGTTGTCGTTGAACTTGCCATTGACGGGTTCCACAAGGGCCTCGAAGGCACCTGAGCCTAGGTTGATGACCAGCCAGACAGCCCCAGACTTGAGGGACAGGTTGACGTAGTCGGCCGACTTGCCTGTGTGCAGCATCAGGCCGTTGCGTTGCAGGGTTCGGAAGGCCAGCGTGATCTCGTCAGTGCTGCTCTGGATGGGGTTGTGTGACAGGTCGTAGCAGAAGAACTCATTGCCTTTGAAGGTCGCCACAAACTCCTCCTTGCCTGGATGCCATGGTGTGGGGAAATGGGAGAAGGCTGAATGGGGTAGGGTATGCCAGTGCTTCCCTCTCCCCTCCAGCAACCCAGGCACTGGTCCTGGGCACCAGGAGCCCAGAGGTCCCAACCTGTAGCTTTAGGCCCCTTTCCCTCCCTTGGCCTGTCAATCATCCTCTCGGGACCCTGCCGTCTCTGCTGTCAAAAGTCAATGTCCCCCGTGTCCATTTCCAAACCAGGAGGCTGCTAAGTGGCTCCCATACTGACAGCTGACAATTACTCTGCCACAGGATCCGGCAGAGCAGAGGGTGCTCACTGTCTCCTCCCCAGCTACCTTCCCATCGGCCACTCCCTTTAACAAAGGGACATAGAAGGGAAATAAGAGGCTCTGCCTTACTTTTCCCTGGGTGCTCCTCCCATATGGCAGGGTCCACAAGGGCCTCCTACGCACAGCCCACCTCCCTTCCTGCCCCTCCTCCAGCGATGGCCAATCTCAGTGCCTGAAGACAGTTTCAGCCTCACCATATGGGATGGTACCAAGAGGCCTGCTGTGCAGCAGGGAGTAGATGAGGAGAATGGGAGGTGGGGGAATGGGGGAAGGGTCAGGAAGACACACAGGAAGGCAATGCAGGTGACAGGGATATGCACCGGATAGCAACAGGCCACCAGGCAGAGCTCACATGGGTGGCCACCGCCCCAGCTATCACCTCCACCCCCAGCTCCCTACTCCAAGCCAAGGACAGTGCAGACAGGCCCAAGGTGGAGAGCAAAGAGTGCCTGGATGTGACCTGTGTGTGCCCAGAGAGTGACAGGGCAAGGGCAGGCCTGGGCCTCGTGTGTGCGCATATCTGTGTATGTGCATGTGTGTCCGTAGGCACCTGGCACAGGGCCCTTCCACTGGCACTTTTTAAGCAGAAGCAAAAACTGCTGGGAGAGCCTGAGGGATTGTCAGCATTCTGTAAGCTGGTAACAAGTGAGAAGACAATGACTCCGTAGTACCAAGAAGTTGAAGTTTCCGTCCAACACCAGCACAAGCCAGAGTGCAAGCAGAGAGAGAACCGGATATGAAGTCAGGACAAACCAGAGGACCTGGGCTCTACCAGTGGCTACTTCTGGCCATTAAGCAGTGGCACACAGCTGGCCCTGCCTACCTCACAGGACAGGTGCAGGGCAAACAACACTGGCCGTGAGAGTCTTTATGAAGAGGCCAAGCTAACCAAATGCGGGAATTCTCAGTAGATGCTCCCAAGGCCCAGGCAAGAACAGGCACAATGCCAAGGTGCATGCAGGGCCACCAGGAGGCACTTGCCTTCCCCTGGTGGGGGCAGGGCTCAGCAGCAGTGCTATGTGTTGAGGCAGTGGGGTGGTGGCAGGGGGGGTCTCGGAGTGCAGATTCTGCAGATCCCCTCCCCTCCACACACAGCCTGCTTCTCTCTCTCTGGGCAGGCTGCCCACAGCCTCTGTCCTCACTGCCTCCGGATGCCAAGGCACCAGCTGCTGCCCCTGAGCCTGGCACAGCACTCGCTGCAGCTGGCAAGGCCCGGTTTCCTGAGGCCACAGGGCAGCAAGGCTGGTGGGGGCCTGGGCAACATCGGGACAGTCTGAATCCCTTCCTCTGTCTACTTAGGGTACCAGTGGGGAGGGCCAGAAAGCAAAAGTGAGGACCCCAGCAGAGACAAGAGGGGAAAGCAGGGAAGAATGGCAAGGAGGAGAGAGGTGGGGCAGAGCCGGGGAAAGGTGAACCATCGCAGAGACAGACAAGAAATGAAGAAGGCTCAGGACTGTGAGGGAGCAAGAGGGGATGAGCGCGGCTATCTGGATAAAGGAGTAAGCCCTGCGGGGACAGGTACAGGAGATGGGAAAAGAGCCAGAAATGAAAGTGGACAGGGACCTCTAGGGAACAGAAGCCAAGGCTTTCTGGGGCCTTGCTGTTTCCATAGCAACGAAGCCTGCTGCCCAGGCACTGGGAGAACCAGGGGGCTCAAGGACCAGAAAAAGGAATGTGTTTGACCTTGGTTTTGCCACATGTACTAGTCCCAACCAGAAGCCACTCCTCCCACTCCCTCACCTTCACTGCAGTCAAAGAAAATATCATTAAAGAGAGTCAAACAGAAAGAAAGAAAAGAATAAGGCAACCGTGTGAAAAAGTGATTCGGACAGAACAAAAGAGGCCAGCAAAAGGGAAAGAGGCGGGTCTAGGGCTGGACCGTGGCTGCCAAGGCCAAGTAGAGAAATGAGGCCATTCCTCAACTCCTCAGCTCTGCCTCCAGTCTCCTGGGGCAGGTGGCAAAGCTAGCTACTCCGGAACCTGCGCCTCCACGGGCTCCAGTCCCTTTGCCACCAGAGACCTGGGTCAGCCCAGAGACACCAAGAGGCCTGAGGAGCAGCCAAAGAGAACCTGAAAGCCTTTGAGAAGAGGGACAGAAAAGAGATGAGCAAAAAAAAGAAAACCAAGGATGAGCAAGTGTGGAAAGAAAACCCGAAGATGGTGAGGAGAGAGAGAGAGAACCTGAGTAGGGGAGGTCGGGGCATGACTTCAAGGTACTGGTGGAGGGATTCTACTGGGGTGAGCCTGTGGGGGCGACCAAGGGGCTCAGCAGAGCACAAACCAGATCTGGGCTGAACAAGCCCTGAAGCACCAGGGGGCGCTCTCCCCCATCTCGCCGCTCTGGCGCGATTGGGAACTACAACTCCCAGCAGCGCTTGCACAGTTACCGCCCCTAATTGCTCCGGACCCAGGAAGGAGGATAATAGCTGATGCTCGTTTATCTCCCACAGTTGGGGAGTCTGTAGCCCTACAAGTGTCCCCAGTGAAGATGAATGTGGCTAGAGACTAGTTGTGGTCCTGCATTTCTAAGTACCATGCATGAGGGACAGAGCAGCTGCCTCCTTTCCAGGCCCAGTTCCCAGACCTCCTCTGGGAAGGTCTCCAGCGCCCCCCTCCGCCCTCCCTACTCTCGAGCTCTACAGCTGTCTGTTCTGCTCACTTGGCACTTATTGCCTAGTAACATCTTGTACTGCTCCCTGGAGAGGAAATGTGATGTGAGAAAGAAGACCTGGGCGCTAGTGCTGGCTCCACCACCAGCTTTGTGACCTTGGCTTGTCACAAAGCTGGGCTCTAAGTCCCAGCTTCCCCCTCTGGAAAATGGAGCTGATCATCAAGAACTGCACAGGCTGCTGTGGGCATCTCAGAAAGAGAAAGTGCAGTGTCCAGCTTCCTCAACTGTAAAGCATCCCACAAATAAACGATTCATGCCTGTTGGTGACTTTCTGCCAGTGTGCTGCCTCTCCCTGTGTCTCCTCTCTTTCTCAAGGATTTTTTTTTTTTTTTTTTTTTTTTTTTTTTGAGATGGAGTCTCACCATGATGCCAGGCTGGTTTTGAACTCCTGGCCTCAAGCGATCCTCCCACCTCGGCCTCTCAAAGTGTTGGGATTACAGGCATGAGCCACCGTGCCTGGCCTCAATGAATAAACTAACTCCTCTCAAAAGAGCCTACACTTTTCATATACTTTGCATGAACCATACTTTATTGTAGTTATTTGTTAGAACATCAATCAGCCCCTTGGGAACAGAGCCTCTCGGCTCATGTAAGATAAATTTGCTGAGCACACGGCTACTTACGTGCCAAGAGCTGTGTAAAGGACCAGGGGCATAGGAACAAAAATATCCAATCCCCGGCCTCAGGGAGCTTGGTCTAGTTTGGGAAGCAAACAGGTAAAGTGACAGTTATGATACAGTGTGATGAGCCTTCTAGTGGAAGTGTGGACAAAGGAAACACCAGAAGTGACCAGGTCCGCCTGGGGTGTTCAAGGAGACTTCCAGTGTGGATGGCCTGGCTGCTTTTTTAAGAGTCAGACAAAAGAGACACACCAAGTCATTGGAGAGAGGACAAGGATGGCAGAAATCCAGGCAAACAGAAGAGCAGACTAAAGAATGGAAATAGGACTCCATAGCCCCAGTGCTTGGCACCCACTGGAGTTCCTTGAGGACTATGTTATAGTGGCTTACAAACTTCTTAGGAAAGAGATTATCTTAAGAGAGGCAGCTTCAGTACAGAAAAAGGAGCTAGAGCCCCCAAGCAGGCTTAAAGGCCCTGTGCTGGCCACAGCTCCCAACCAGAATCTCTCTGGACTGGGCACCTAGCAGGCTTCCAGAATTTGATGGTTAAATTGGGGTTGCCCTGCTGCCTGGTTGCCTTACCAAAGAAACAGACACTTCCGAGGGATCAGCCTGAACAACTGCCACAAAAAAAGATACCTGTGTTCTACAAAGAGGTCATCAGAACAACTGGGCTTTGCGAAAGAAATGGAGGTGTGTGGCCCTTCACACCAGGGCAGCTAATGGGGCCTTTGGAATGGCACTCACGGAGCAGGCCCATCAGTTCCCACAGGCCTCAGAGAGGACAAGGGGATGTGCCTGCATTGACTTGGCTTCCCCCCAGGAAGCACAGTTAGCCTGCAGCAGGATGAGGGCTAGGCTCTCTAGGGACCATGGGGATCACTGACCTTTTGTTGGCTGGTGCACATCGCCGGCTCCTCCTCTCCCGGCCCCCCCCTCGGAGAACAGTAAGGACCCTACTGGAGAAGCAGAATTGGGGAGTCAGGCACAGGGGCTACCGAGCCAGTCCCTCCCCAGCCTTGAGGGGATGAAGGGCCCTCTCCAGGGTGGAGGTGCTGCTTGCAGGGACTTTTCTGGGGACTCCCTTGCCTTCAATACCTCTAAGGAAGGAGCTGCTTGACAAACCAAGGACGATCAACCCCACAGACCCCATCAGACTCATGATCACCGACTTCCACTCTTTGCCTGGGGCAGGGAGACTGGGCAGAGGAACAGAGGCCTCACCATGAGTGCAGGATCCTTCCTTCCCCACAGCAGGCAAACAGGCCAGCCCTCAGCACTGGAGGCCCCCAGTTCCCCCTTCCAACTGCCCGCTCCTTCTCCTAGCCTCCTTCATGAGGCACATTCTCCCCACCACTCTGCAACTTTGCTCACACCCTTTATGCTGGGTCAAGCTCACACTTTCCAACTCGTTCAAAAGCCTGACACAGGCACCCCTCTCCTCCAGAAACCTCTCCAGATTTACACCCCAAGCTCCTCTTCTGTTCTTTCCTGTCCTTGAGGCTCTCACTACACCTTGAGGCCATCCACACCTGCTTCATTCAACACAGCAAGTGCTCAGAAGCTCACCCTCGTCCAGTTCTTTGCCAGTTAGACCCCAGAGCTTCCCAGAGATTTCCAGGGGCTTCCTGTAATTCCTGTCTGTTCTTCATCCCACCATCGTGCCTACAAAAGGGCTGTGCACGTCAAAGGAGATCCTGCCTGGAGCTCAGCCTGGATGTGGGCAAGCCCTTTCTCAGGAGTTATTTCTCACTCCCCACCACCCTCCTCATCAGCAGCACCTGGGCCTCAGTCCAAAGGCCCTGGTGGGCACATGTTACCATGTCTGGGTTCCAGGCTGGCTTGAACTCTTCACCCCACCTCTCCCCCGGCCAGTGAACCTGTATACTCAGCACCTGGCTTCCAGGTACCCAGCCCTACTTCCAGATCCACAGGATGGCTTCAGGATGAGAAAACTCAGTGATGAAGGGGAAAAGTCCCTATATGGGCTCTTACTCTAACCCCAGTTGCAAATCCCCAAACTTGAACTAGAATAATACTTGAGCTGTGGAACTTTCCAGGGGGGCTTTCTGAGATCCTTTGGGAGGGGCTTCCCTTATGACAAAGGGGAGCCACAGCCAGCACCCATAGAACCAGGCACTGAGAGGCAAGAAGGATGTGAGTGAACCAACCAGGGCTCCTACTGCAGATTCTCCATTTGGGACTTCCTCTTTCCCCACACTTCTTGCCATAATTTCACATCCCTGCAAGACTCCAAGGCCTCTACCTCCCCAGACCTAAATCCAACCCAGATTTCATATCTATATGAGTTTCTCCCTGTAGCCCAATCTTGGTCCTGCCTACAGGCTAAGGACCCCACTCTGTTCCTCCGTAAGATAACCCCCCAACAGAGGGCTGAACTGGGCAGGTCCAACAGTACCAAAGGGTCTGGAAGGTCAAAACCCTGAGCTCAGAGAGAATCAGTGACAGCAGAGGGCTGGAGCAGGCCAGAGCTGGAGGAGCTCAGACAGGACTCCTGGGTTCTGTCTCCAGGTTTACTTAACACCAGGGCTCTCAAAGATGGCAGGCACTTAGTCAAAGGAGTGCTAAAATTAAATGCCTAGTCCCAACCATACCACCAATTAGGGCTGTGGAATCACTAACGAGTCATTTCATCTCTCTGGTCCTCAATGGCATCATCTGTCAAATAGGGTTAAGAGATGTTCAATGTAATCCCAGCACTTTGGGAGGCCGAGACGGGCGGATCACGAGGTCAGGAGATCGAGACCATCCTGGCTAACACGGTGAAACCCCATCTCTACTAAAAATACAAAAAAAGCTGGGAGTGGTGGTGTGTGCCTGTAGTCCCAGCTACTCGGGAGGCTGAGGCAGAAGAATGGCGTGACCCTGGGAGGCAGAGCTTGCAGTGAGCTGAGATCGCGCCACTACACTCCAGCCTGGGTGACGGAGCGAGACTCCGTCTCAAAAAAAAAGAGACGTTCAAAAGACACAAGGGTGAAGGCGTGCGGGTGGGCAGGGTGTTGGGAGTGCACACTGTGGAAAGGCAGAGACCCTACAACTCTACTCCCATTCCCTTCTAGTCATGGATGGGGGCCTCCCACAGTAGCAGGGTGAGGGTAATGAGACTGCCTAAGACCCTCTTTCTCCAGCCTATGCTTTTCTCTTGTTACTTAGGTCCATAGAAAAGAAAGAATGGTTAGAATGAGTGGAAGGAAATCAAACACCACCATGAGAAAGAAAAAAAGCAAGATATACTACCAGGAAAACGCAAAAAAAATGGTGACTGGAGACAACGGCAGGAGTTCAAACATCTCTTGATGTCAGAAACCAAGGTGAGATGTAGGTGGATGGAGTGCTTCAGGGTGGGCAAAGGAGAGGGGAGCATACAGACAAGGGCAGGCCCCCACCCCCACCCCAGCACCCCCCAAATAAAATTAAGAAATGGCAAAGGAAGTGGGTAGGAAAGGAAGGAAGGTGTCAGGACAGGTGGAGGAGGGGAAGGGGACAGGGGAGGGACAGGGAGAAGAACAGAAAATCCAGGCGCAGGTTGGGGGCAATCCAATCCAATCCAAACCAAACCAAAACTTCAAACCATACCTTCGCTGTTTAACGTCAGGTGAGCCGGACCTTGGAAAGGGGAAGGAGAGAAAGAAAGAAAGAAAAAAAAAAGAAGAAAAAAGAAAGAAAAGGGGAAAGAAACAAAGAAAACACAAGTCATCAAAATCAGCCAGAGAGAAGGGAGAAAAAAGCTTTTGCTGCCACAATTTAAAAACCCTTTTTAACTTGTGACAGACATCGGGGGGGAGCCCCAGCCCAGGAGCTGAGGAGAGGGGCCCGATGCCGAAACAGCGGGTGGAGGGCACAACAGGGGAAGAGAGAAAGAGAGATTAGGGGCTTCAGAGAGGGTGAAAAGGGTACAGGCAGAACCGGAGGAAGGAGGGGGCGGGGAGTCGCTGCAGGGGGGGAGAGGAGATTTTGGTTTCTTTTTTTCTTCTTGCCGGAAAAAAAAAAAGGAAAAGGAGGAGAAGCATTAGGCTGGGAGGGTTGCTTTTTCCTTTTTCTTTTTTTCTTTTTTTTTTTCTTCCGGGAGGCGGAGAGAAAAAAAAACGGTCAACGAGAAAAACGATTCAGATGGAGGAGAAAATAAAACACGACACAAAAATCAAAGCCACCTGGAGAGAGAGAGAGTGTCCTGTTAGCATGGGATTAAGCGGGCAAGGGGGCCTCCAACCCCCCAGCACCCCTAATTCCAGTTACCCCTAGGATGCTGACAGAAAAGGGGGAAAGATGGGGGGTATAAAGAACCCGGGCCTAAAAGGATCCCCCACTAAAGCGGGGTTTGGAAGGACATCTGTTGGGTTCTAATCCTCCCAGCTACCCTTCCCAATAACCTCTGTAGGGATAGTAGGGACCCTGCACACCTGGGTTCTAAGAGGAAACTGGGGTTCAAGAGGACAAAATTAGTGAGGAAGCAGGTAAGAGAAGGTAGAATCTACGGAGACACTGAGAGACTGGGCTCAGAGCTCTCAGACAGCAAGGTCCAAAGAGGACAGCCAAGCCCTATGGGAGGAGGCCCAGCTCTCTGAAAGGTCTAAGTACATCATTCATAAATTACAGACCCCCTTTCTCTGGCCAGGACCTCTCTCAAATGACCCAAAAGCTGGATTTTGAAAATAGAAAATGGACTGATAGGAAGATCAGCTGGATTTCCATCCAGAATTACACTGGCCCCTTGAGACAGCCTTGTCAGCCCTAACCCAAAGTATCCCTCCCCAGCCTTAGTGGGAAGGAATCTGGCCCACTGGATCAGTACCCTTGTCCCCAACGGGCACCAGCCAAGGAACGCACTCTCCTAGAGAGGCTGGCAGCACCAGGCCCCACAGCTGGTCTGAGACCCCAGGGCTCCCTGAGATGTCCAGCCAGCTCCACCAAACCTCAGAGCCCCCTCCTAACCCTAACCCCAGCCCCACTCACTCCCCTGTGGTGTCTGGCCAAGAGGGTAGGAAAGGGAACAGCCCTGCAGTGCCACTGTCACCCTTGGAAACCAGCCCCACTGCTGTGGCAATGAGATGTTAACCCTAGGGATAGAAAGCTGGGGCCAGGATGGAAGTAGCAAGGTTAAAGAGTTACGAGTATTTCTGAGACGAAGCTGGGGGCCAGGATGCCTGGGTTCCAAGAGGAAAGGCAGTGAGGAGGCCAGGAAGGACATGGCCAGATGGTTCACATTTCCCTCTTTGCCCCATCTCTCTAGAGTAGTATTGGTTTCTCCCCATGTCTGAGTCTGAGGCCACTTGGAGGAGGAGGCCACAGCCACTGAGGGCAGCCTTAGGACTGAACAGCTCTTGGGAGGACGTAGGTTTTTATCCATGACACAGGTAAGGACCCAGGCATTTGAACCGAGTCTCCTCATTCCTTACTCTGAATACCCTCCTACTCTGCCACCAACCCTTTCCCCAAGAACTACCAGCATCTCCGTCCAAACCCCCTAAACCCAGGACCCAGACCCAGAGCCCTCAACCCACATCTGACATTCCCTGTCAGAAGCAGCCTTGCTCTCAGGCTCCCACCCTTGAGAATCCAGGCCTCTGCCCACCCCCAGCCCAGGAGCCAGGTGCCCTGTGAACCCACCCTCTGTCTCCCACAGGCCTGACTGCTGCTGGGGGAAGCCACATCTCTCTCTCCCAGACCCTTCCACTGCCCAGCTCCTCGCCAGCCTCATTAGCATTCGGCAGTCTCCCTCTGTCACCACGGCAACCAGCTGCTCAGCTCCCTCAGGCGTGACAGCACCAGCCATCTTGGTGAAGGGGAGGCTGGTTCCCTTCCTGTCTACCCCTGGCTCAGCCCCAGCTGGCCCCAGGGTTTTCTCCCTAAAGTCTGTCTCCCCGCTAATCTGAAATCTCTGCTCCCTCCTCCTGGCCCCCAGCCCCACTGGGGTATTCACTTCCCCACATCCACCTGTGACATCAGCCCCTCCTCCCACCACTGGAGAAGAGACTGGCAGTGATGGATGGCATTGCCAAGGGTCCCTTCCTAGGGCACTTTATCCGGCTACTTCTGGTTCTCTTTGCCCTGCCACAAGAGGGTGGGAGGAAAAAGGAGGTGCTCGGCAGGGGCTGCAAAGCAGGATCTTGGGGTTCCTGGAGAAAGCTAGGCCTTGGGCAAGTGTCAAGCGGGAAGAGGGTGAAGGTACAGAGGACTCCTTAGAGATATAAGGAGGGCTGCAGGGTCCAGAGCACAGTGCCACAGAGGAAGCCCCCAGCCCACCCACGTGGAACCACGACCTGCTAAGCCCACCTCCCCACCTTCAGTCTCATCCCCTAACTCTCCTACTGAAACCCCAGAGAGGACCACCATCAAAAGAAAGATGGTGATAGGTGACAAGGTTAAGAGACACAAAAGCAGGCACAAAGACATGTCACAGAGTGACATAGAGATGCATCAGACTCCTAGGTGTGTATACACACACATACACACACACACAGCCACCAATACGCAGCCCTGCACAGCCACTGACATGCAGGCACCCACAGTGCCACCTCTAAACCAGCAGACCACCACGCCACCCAAAGAAACAGTGAGGTGGCATCCACAGGCCTCCTTCCCCATGGGTCCCCAAAGCCCAGCTTCCCTTCTTGTCCCTGTCTATCAGCCCCTTTCCTCTCCCCTACTCCCGCCAGACTCCTTCTTCCCAAGTGCCCCCCTGCCTTTCTTCTTTTGGCCAAGTTGTTCCCCATTCCTGCCCCTCCCTACAGCTTGAGGCTTGAGTCTTTCTCTTCCCACCCCTTCACTTGCCCCCTCTCCTTCCTCCATCTCTCTGCTCCTTCCTTTTTTCTCTCCTCTACCATTTTTTCCCTTTCTCTCTTCCTCCTTCCATCTCTCCCTTTGTTCTGGAGGAGACATGACATCAAGAGCAAGTAAAAGTCACATCAGCACTAAATCTTATCTCCAGCCCTCAGAAGGCTGCGTCCACCCAGACATGCAGACTCTCTCTCTGACATACACACAGAGGTAAACACTGACACACGGAGATGCAAACACAGATGCAGACACACAAAGATGCTGATGCTCTACACAGGCATACAGAAATGTGGGCCACACCACATATGCATCGATGGAGGCGCAGAGCACACCCACACACTCAGACACAAAATCATGTTACATGTACACAGCACATATCCTGAGGCGTGCACAGAGACACACAGACCAGCAGAGCTGTATAAATGTATGTGTATGCAGACATACATACACACATATACATACACACACACACACACACACACACACA